AGGGGAACCGTAGAGCACTGCAACATCCTTAGGTTTTTCAGATTTTTTTTCTTTGTGTAAAAATACTATAAATAACTTTTGGTGTATCAAGCTCAACATGAGTGGCTAAACCTTGCTATTCTAGTTAGAGATTTAATTGGAGTTTTAGCTCCAATATTGTGAGATCAAATTATTTTGTTTTTATTCTTATTTAAACTTCAGTATTGTTTATCCTGCTGCCATACAACTATTATTATCTATTATCTGTTCAAGAGGGCTTGTTGCGTATATAGCATGATAGCATATTGCCATTCAAGATTTTTGAGTCCATAATTATTCACGTTATCTTGATATTAGTGGTAAGTTAATTTCATACTAAAAGGATACATAATCTGACTTAAATAAACCTTGTTGTTGAGTTCTTTGATTAGAATTTGGTCTTTCTAGTTTCTAAAACTACTGGTAAACTAAACTCTAAGAACATTTTCGTGATTGTTTATTAGTAAGGGTTAATTAACGAGTATCTCTTGATTAATTTAGGATTAAAAAAATATTAGTTGTTAAGAGCGTCTCCAACTATTAGAATCGATTTATTGAAAGTTGATAGGAATTATTTTTGTATCAATGATCAATCCTCTATGTTAAAATTGATGTTACTTTTTTAACTGAAACTCACTCACAACTGCTCTTTACTTCATTATTCTGCTGATCTACTATGTTTTAATTACTTTAAAAGAGAGTGTTGATTATTAATTCCTTATGGATTCGATCGTATTCACCGTTATTACAATATTATTTTGTTGTTCGAATATGAATTTATTTTTGATAGATTCAACACCCATTAAAAGTCATGGCCGTCTAGACGCGACATCAAGCGAAAAGTCGCGCCCTTTGGAGCTAGTGGTCAATCGGGTTGCCATGAGGTAAAAGAAGAAAAAAGGGAAACTGGACTACTTTGTTCCCATATGCACATTGGAAAAGGGAAGACAACCCCAAAAAAGCCATCTAATCACCAATCCTCGATCCAGTTTGTGATAACTATTTCTTCTTTTAAGCAACCCTAATGTTTCTGATAATGGTGTATTTTATATACAATCATGATTGTTTTTGCTTTAGTTTTTGTTAGTTTTGAGTAATATTCATTAATTTTTCATTTGATTTTAGTTTATTTAGTTATTTTAGTTTATTTTATGAATTTTAGGTGATTTTGGAAAAGTTTTAAAAGTTTTGGATGAATGCACAAAAGGGCATAAACCTATATTGGCATATACATGTTCATACAGGTGGTGATGCACATCAGTCATAGAGTCTCTCTTTACACAATTTTGAAGACAAAAATCTGCATGGGCAAGTGCATGGTCATGTAGATGGTCATGGGGGAAAGGTAGAATTTTTAGCTTTCCTAAATTGCTTAGGATGTCATATTCTCTTTCCTATTTCACTTAGTATTTGCATTTAAGAACTTCTGTTATTTATCCTATATATAGGATATATTATTAATATTCTAGAGCAGCACTCCTTTAATTCAAATATTGTTTTAAGTTAGGGTTTTTCTTCTTCTTCCTGGAAGACTCAAAACTCTATTGGAGAGGAGATCAAGCTCAAGACAAAGACACAATTCTGAGTTTAATTTTATTTTACTATGTTTTCTTTTAATTTCGATTTTTGTTTTCTCGATTTAATTGTGGAATAGATTTCTTTTGTTAGTGAGAACATAAACCCTAAACTATATTGGGTATTGATTTTGATTAATGATATCTGAGTTAGTTTTATGTAAAATTATTGAGTTTAATGCTTGTATTGATATTTGTTGATTGAATTCCTTAATGATATGTCGAATAACGAAGTTAGGATTTTCAATTGATGGGATTTCAATAAATAATTATTAGAATTTTGCATAACACGTTTAATAACATATTTGTTCTAATATATAATTTGAAATTGACAGGTGGTATACATTCGTGTTCTTAGATAAGGTCAGATAATTGAGTTGATTATATGTAGATTTTTATAAAAGTGCGTGAGTAAGAGTTTTATTTAAATCTAAAAGATTATATCTCTAAATAAGGTTAACTAGACGTTAGAATTAACCCGCTAATTTTATAACTCAGATTTCATTATTAAT